CATTGTATTTTGTTATGATGCCCCATTAGTGTCAGTTTGGAACAACTCCTGCCTGTTTCTTTGCACCCCCATTGCCACTTTTGACTCTTATATGGTTTTTTTTTTTTTTTTTTTTTTGCCTTAGCTGGGGAATAAACCCAGGATCTCAAACGTGCCAGGTAAGCATTCTGCCTCTGAGCTATGTCCCCTAATCCCATGTCATTGAGTTTTGAAGAGTTCAAGTCAGTTTTCTTATAGAATGTCTTACTTTCTGTATTTTCAATATTTTTGTGATTCTTTTATATTTTTTGGCAAGGATACTTCATAGTTGATATACTTCTTCTTTTTAAAAATACCTTGTTTTATTTGTAGTTGGAAATAATACCTTTATTTTATTTTTAAGTGGTGCTAAGCATGTGCTAGGTGAGTGCTCTACCACTGAGCCACAATCCCATCCCCTGATGTACTTCTTATTGTGCATATCAGGGGACACATAGTGTATGACTGTCTCAGTGTTGATGGTTCTGTGTTTGATCACTTGGTTAAGATGATCTCCCCATCATTAGTGCCATTTCCTTAGCAATGAGTAATCATCTATAAACTCAGTGCATTATTTGCATTGTGCTGACATCAAAGTGACTAGGTACTGCTGGCAAAACAAAAGTAACAGTATATTTGTAGCATTATTAATTCTTGATTATTAATCTCAGTGGAATTCCTTAACTATAAGACAGTCTTTTGTGCCTCTCTAGTAAACTTATATTCCCCATCTTCACAATGATTATTTGAAACAGTTTCTCTTCTCAAACCTATATTCTATTACCTTTCATATCACTTTTAGGAAATGGTCTGTGTTGCTTCTACTTCCTAGAAGATGGAAAGGAGTGCCCCTTCTCTCATAAACCACTATAGAAGAGCAGTGAAGTATACTGGCAGTGGAGTTGGGAGTGGTTGTGCATTTTATTTTCACCATTCCTTTTTCTGTTGTATACCCAGTCACCTCAACTGTGAAAGAATTATCTCAGAGAGTAATAGTAAATGAATCAATCAGTGTAAAATGCTTAGCGAAGTGCTAGATATATATTAACATGGTCAGTAAATATTAACTGTTTTTATACTGTTTTTTAAGAATCTTATTGTGGGATTTCTTCTGTCTCCTATATCTTCAACTTTTCCTACTTCATTAACCTCTTCCCATAAATGATTAAACTTATGTAGATCTTTCCTATTTCAGATTAACCAGCTAACCAACCAGTAACAAGCTAAAATCCCTTTCCTGTATACCACATCTTTAGCTCTTGTCCTATCTCACTATTTCACAGCCATATTTCTTAATATCTACATTTGCTATATCCCTTGCTGCCTTTCTTATTTACTTATCCCACTGTCTTCTGGTTTTGTTTCTACAGTTCTATTAAAGTGCCTCTGATGAAGTAAGCAATTCTCTCTTTGAATTCATTTTTATTCCTGTTTCTCCTTAGTGCTTTCATTTCATTGTCTGTAAAAAGATCAAAATGGTCTTTTAAAAATGCAGTTCTGATCTTACTTCTAAAAACTAGTGAATTTCTATTATTGTTCATATAAAGTCTCAAATACTTAATATGGTCCACTGTGTCCTGCCTAATTGCCATTCTTATCTCATACACATTTTCTTTTCACTCTAAGCCCTTGAGCTGGGTAAATTGTTTTAATTTTCATACAAGCTTTACTGAGAACATTTGTGTTTTGTCCCGTTTTTTGTTTTTTGTTTTTGTCTTTTTTCCATTTTCTACCTGTTTCCTTTGGAGAGTGCTTAGCCTTCTTTAACACATTAGCTTTAGGGCCATGTTCTAAGTAAAACCTTTCCTGATTTGAAGAGGTGTAGCATTTGAACTTCTCCTTCAAATGTTGTAATCACAGTTGTAATTAAATATGAATTGAGTTATTCTCTGGAATGTAAGCTCCATAAAATCGAGAATGCTATCTTGTTTATTGCTGATTCTAGGTCTTACTAGCACAATTGTTTTGCTTGAAGGTGTTCAATAAGTATTTGTTGCATGAAGTATTATTAATTCATAGAGGTGTTATGTTACTCATCTCTTTATTATAGCTTAGCCTTTCCCCCCCCCTTATTCTGCATGTTTGAAGTTTCAGTGCATTCTGTAGTAGAAGTTCTCCTTAGAATTTATTCCCCTCTTTTCCTAGATGATTTGGGAATATAATCTTAAGTACATGTTGTGAACAGATGATTTGTTTTTTAAGATTTCCTGTTTTATCTTGAAAATACATGAGAATTTTGCTTGCTGTTTCTTAATATTCTTGTGTTTGTTAAATAAACAAGCAAAAAGTGCCTATAACTGCTTACTAGGGAATAAAATTTCTGATTAAATATCTGGTTATTTCAGTTGTTTCGTATTTGACATTGTTTAAAGTCCACTATTAGCCTGTTTATATCACTCACCAACTATATTTCATGGTTCCAGAACTGAGCATACTTTTTCAAATACTGTCACCACAAAGACATATTGTGTCATATCATATTGCATATGTGATAAGGCAGATCCCTGAAACGGCTTGTATTTATCAGGCTTCCTTTTGAGATTGGCATAATAAAGGTTTTAAATTTACCCATTTTAGATGGCATTAGAGTAGATTATGCTAAGTGAAGCTAGCCAATCCCTAAAAAACTAATGCCAAATGTCTTCTTTGATATAAGAAGAACAACTAAGAACAGAGCAAGGAGGAAGAGCATGAGAAGATTAACATTAAACAGGGACGACAGGTGGGAGGGAAAGGGAGAGAGAAGGGAAATTGCATGGAAATGGAAGGAGACCCTCATTGTTATACAAAATTACATATAAGAGGAAGTGAGGGGAAAGGGGAAAAAAACAAGGGGGAGAAATGAATTACAGTAGATGGGGTAGAGAGAGAAGAAGGGAGGGGGGATAGTAGAGGATAGGATAGGCAACAGAACACAACAGACACTGGTATGACAGTATGTAAAAAAGTGGATGTGTAACCGATGTGATTCTGCAATCTGTATATGGGGTAAAAATGGGAGTTCATAACTCACTTGAATCAAATGTATGAAATATGATATGTCAAGAACTATGTAATGTTTTGAACAACTAATAATAAAAATTTTAAAAAAATTTACCCATTTTTGAAAAAGGTAAAATTAAATCTATATCTTAAGACTATGTAGGCTGTAGATGATGTATTATTTACCCCTAGTTTTTATAATGTTTTCTGCTAAAATAAAAACAAATTTTTAGCCAGAAAGTGGTTCCTTTTGTGTTGAGATTTACAGATGTATATTGTCCTTCTACTAGCAGTGTGAATAAGTATGGATGGGTTGTCAGGAATTCAACAGCTTACATATGTGTGACCACAATTATAGTTTGCCTGTCAGAATTCTGGTGAAAATCCCAATTTAAATGAAATAGCCATACTTTTTAATGTGTATTTGAGAATGGTGAGGGTTTTTTTTAACTTAACACTATTTGCTACTATAATTAATTGCTTAAAAATCTGAGATTTAGATTTCCAAAGATTAATATATAAATAATTTGTGATAAATTCATGTATTATACAATGTTTAGTATGGAATGTATTAATTATTTATGTGTGTAACAGGCAACTCAAAGTTATGTTGACGAATGTTCTATGGACGGATTTAGGACGAAAATTCACAAAGACCCTACCTAGAAACGATGCTAATTTATATGATGCCAACAAGGTACAATCAGATTCATTGCCTTCGACATCTGTTGACAGCATAGAGACATGTCACAAATTAGAACCTCTTCATCAAAGCCTTAATTTATCTGAAAGGTATGTTGTTCAGTATTGATTTTGTTCAACTTACCACATTTGAAATAATATAAATCCAATACTCTTAAAAATATGATTGTTGGAAATAACATGGAAGAAGATCTGCATATACAGGTATGCCCTGGTCTAAAGCAAATCTTGAAACTTTGAATCTTCATTTAGATGTTGGTTCTGTACTTCACTAAATCGATTGACATGGAGTTATATTTAAAAATGAATATCCTTAGTACATTTAACTTATTTATAATAATTTAATTCATGTATGTATTGTTTTAGTATATTATATTACAATATAAAACAAAGATATATACACACATACATTTGTTTACATATAAGATATATACACATAAATGTGTATATATCTATTTCTTGTTTTCAAAAATATCTTTTTTTTGTCAGAAATGAGTTTTTAGAAAATCTTTAATCTGAACTAGTGTAACACATTATATAAGAACTACTATTTATTAAAACTTATCGGAGGCTATATAGGCTTGTTTCCACTAGGTTTTTTTTTTTTTTTTACAAAAGTATAAAAAGCAGTTTCTGAAGTGAGCTGTACTCTTTCTGCGCTCCAAAGCATCTTACTGATGGCTGTGGTTAACCGTTTCACAGAGAGGGAAACTGAGGCACTGAGGTAATGTTGCACCAATTATTGTAGGGTGCACTAGTTAAGAGTTGCTCTTTTCTGACTGGCCAGGTGGAAGGTGGTGGGAAAAAAGGCTTATTGAGCTGTGGGGAAAGGGGGTCAGTCTTGAGCGGGGCAGAACAGATCTGTTTGGTGCCCCCACCAACCTCTCAGTGAGGGAAGGGAATGGGAGGACCATGACATAAGTGGGGAGTTGTGGAAGTCTAGAAAGAGAAAGCCTTGGAAGAGGCAGCTGTTTTGCCATCTTTGGAGGAGGGTATAGTAAAGGCCGTTGCTGCAATGAGAAAGCACTGACCCAGACCTAGTCAGAAACCTCACTGTAGTAATATTTGTGGGCAGCTGGCATGGTCTTCTAGCCAGCCTCCCAGAATTCAATGATCTCTAGCAGCAGTAGCTGGGCCAGGGAGCTAAAGCCTATTGGAAGCAGGAGCCTATCCCAGATCAGGACAAAGAGCTCATTCATGCACTCACTGCCCGTTCATCTTCTCCAGCTGCTTCCCAACCCAGTACAGCTGCAGCACCAAGCAGTCTACCTTCTCCTCCTTGCTTAGACTGCAGGCTGGGCCAGCTGGAAGAGATAATCATAGATGGGGTTCATTAGTGCCATCATGGGCATGTTGTTCACGTTTGAGTGCTGTCTTCAGCAGCTGCTGTGTCTGTGCATCAAAAGATTGGATCTATTTGGCTTCCCCATGACCATTTAGCCCCAGCAGCTCTTTAATGGTCTGGGATTAATGACAGCACCTGCCACACCTGCCTGTTTTCTGCATGTTTAACATACCTTTAAATGTTATTTTATCTGAATCCTCACTACCTTTGATTTTTTTGAACTTTCTTGTATTTTACATGCATTTAAGAAATGGATATGATTTAAAAATACCACTTCCAGGCTTTAGTAGTAAATATTCAGTTTAATTTTGAAAACTAAGAAGACTAGTTTTGCTTGTGGTTTTCTAAAAAGATTGTATGTGGAATTTTGAGCTAAACACAAGGTAGTAACTCTAGGAATTTGTGATCTATAAAATAATATTTTTAATATATCTTGCTAGGCGTGGTGGCACATGCCTGTAATCCCAGTGACTTGGGAGGCTGAGGCAGGAGGATTGTGAGTTCAAAGTCAACATCAGCAAAAGTGAGATGCTAAACAACTTAGTGAGACCCTGTCTCAAATACAAAAATGGGGCTGGGGAATGTGGCTCTGTAGTCAGGTGTGCCTGAGTTCAATCTCTAATACCAAACAAACAAACAAACAAACAAAAACTATATATCTCCATTTGTTTTTAGCTCTTAAATATTTTTTGGGGGAGGCACTTTATTTTCAATTAGAAGAACCTGCTATTGACTAGCCAGTGCTTAATAATATATGAACTTTAGTCTGGATGACAGTATATAAGTGTTTTAAGTGGAAAAGATTGTTAATTTTGAAGAGTTATTTTAAATAAAAGTAGCACTTTTATCAAAACTTCTAAACTTGCTTAATAAGGGTAAAACCAAAAAAAGTTTAATAAGACTTCCCTTACTAGATGTTTCCTAGTGTTGAGGTAGCTTTCTAAAAATACTGTGAACCTTAAAGATAGTTTAATATAAGTAAGTTTGAAGCATCTTGCTCTCATTCTACTGGATTTTAGCAGTTTACCCACTTTGTACAGGAGAACTAATCTCAAACTGTGCTGACAGATGTAAATAAAGGAGCTAGTTAAAAGAATGATCATATGTTTGACTCTTTTGAAAGGAAGCTTTAATTCTTCTGCAAATGACTACAGATTTTTCAATTATTTTATCCCATTACTGTTCTTTTTTCAATTAAAAGTGTGTGGTGTTCCATTCTCTCTGAAGAATAGTTTTGCCCATAAAGAATTGTTAGCCTCTAAATTATGTGTTTGTGAAATTTAAATATTACATGAAGAGCCCTAATAAGATTTTAATTTTTTTTCCTGTTTAGTTAGTAGAATTCAGTTAGTCCAGATATCTTAACTACAGTCCAGATATCCTAAACTTAGCTTGTTTTACATTGAAAACATTATTTTTATTCTCTTCTATCCCCTTACTATTTGAGTGAATGCCTTGCTTGTATACCCAGTTCTGCAAATTAGAACTTGGGAATTGTCCTTTTTTTTTTTTTCTTACTCTTATATCTAATTATTTACCTCGTGTTGTTTTTTTCTTCTAAATTCATCTTGAAATAATTTCTTCATCTTTACTGCCAGTACCTCAGCGCAAGTCCTAATAACTTTGTGCTATTGTTACTATAACATTAAATAGATGAGGCTTCCTGTGCATACTTTTTCTTCTTGGCATATTCCTTTTGTCTTTGTCTAAGTATTCATTCTAAAAATCAGGTCTTACTCATGACTCAATGGTTTAACATTTTTCTGTGATTCCATGTAACCTTCAAGATAAAGTTCAAACTAGTTAGCTTGGTGCACAGGTCCTTATGATGATTCCCCTTTGCCTATCTCTATCTAGCTTTGTGTCTTTCCACTATTCTACATTTACAGAGTACTTCAGACTTAGGGAACTATTGGTTGTTCATTGAACATATAATGCTATTTTATGCATTCTGTTTTTCTCTTATAAATAATCTCCTTTTCCTTTTTACTGGTTTCTCTTGGTTTTGAACATTGAACTCACATGTCTCTTGAGAGCCCTCCTTGAGTCTTCCATAATTATATTTGATCTCTTTGTCTTGCTAAAAACCCTCTTCATATATCAGCATTCATCACACTATATTGTGATATTTAGTTTCTCTAACAATGAACTTCATAAGGGTAAGGACTATATTTTATTTCTTATTTTTCTTTGTTCCTAATATAATAGTAGGCTCATACTAAATACTCAGTACAGGAAGTTTTTGTTTTATTTGGTATTAGGGATTGAACCCAGGGGTGCTTTACTACTGAGTTACATTT